GCCTTTTCCGTTCCTCTTTTCCTAAACCTTACATAAACCTCCTTCTTCCTCTTAACAAGTCGTTCGACCTCTCTCGAGAACCAAGGCTCCCTCACTCGAGCGCATCTTCTCTGCCTGCCAGGGACAAACATATCGAGCACACGCAGTATGCATTCCTTAAACAATCTCCACATTTCTGTGGTGCTCTTCCTTGACAAGATCTGTTCCCAATTTATGTTACCCAGTTCTTGCCTAACTGAATTGTAATTACCCTTCCCCCAATTATAAACTTTACCCTGCCGTATGTACCTATCCTTATCCATGACTATCATGAAAGAAACAGAGTTATGATCACTACCACCAAAATGCTCTCCTACCAACAGGTCTAACACTTGGCCCGGTTCGTTGCCAAGCACCAAATCCAAAGTGGCCTCTCCTCGCATTGGTTTATCTACATACTGTGTCAGGAATCCTTCCTGAACGCACTGGACAAAATCTGCTCCATCTAAACTATTACAACTAAAATGTTTCCAATCAATATTTGGAAAGTTGAAGTCACCCATGACTACAACCCTGTGACTTCTGCACCTTTCCAGTATCTGCCTCCCAATCCGCTCCTCTACTTCTCTGCAATTATTAGGGGTCTGTAAAAAAACCCCCAACAAAGTGACTGCTCCTTTCTTGTTCCTGACCTCAACCCAAACTGACTCTGTAGACATATCATCCTCGAACTGCCTTTCAGTAGCTGCTATACTCGCCCTGACTAGCAATGCCACTCCCCCACCTCTTTTTCCACCCTCCGTATTTCTTTTAAAGCATCTAAATCTCGGAACTTCCAAAATCCATTCCTCTCCCTGAGTTACCCAAGTTTCTGTAATGGCCACAACATCGCAGTTCCAAGCACTGATCCATGCTCTAAGTTCATCCGCTTTATTTCTGATATTTCTTGCATTGAAGTATACACACCCCAAACCATCTTGGTGTCCGCAATTACGCTCCATCGACTGTATTTCTTTATAAACCACCTCACTCCCTGTTGTATCTGTTGGAAGGCCGAATACCTCATCCTCTGAATTATAAATCCGGTTCCCCACCCCCTACCAAACTAGTTTAAACCATCCTGTACAGCTCGAGCAAACCTCCCTCCCAGGATATTTGTGCCCTTCCGGTTCAGGTGCAACCTGTCCTTACTGTACAGGTCCCATCTTCCCCAGAATGTGCTCCAATTATCCACATAATGGAAGCCCTCCCTCCTACACCAGCCCTGTAGCCACGTGTTTAGCTGCACTCTCTCCCTATTTCTTACTTCGTTATCATGTGACACTGGTAGTAATCCAGACATAACTACCTTGTTTGTCCTGGACTTCAGCTTTCAACCTAACTCCCTGTACTCGTTTTTCACATTCTCAGTCCTTTTTCCACCAATGTCATTGGTACCGATGTGTACCATGACTGCTGGTTGCCCACCCTCCCCCTGAAGGATCTTGAAGACACCATCCAAGACATCACGGACCCTGGCACCTGGGAGGCAACATACCATCCTTTCATCTCGTTTGCGTCCACAGAACCGCTGTCTGTGCCTCTTACTATCGAGTCCCCCACTACAATTGCTCTCCTATTCTCCCCGCTTCTCTTCTGTGCCACAGGGCCAGGCTCAGTGCCAGAGACCTGTCCGCTATGGCCTTCCTCTGGTAGGTCGTTCCCCCCAACAGTATCCAAAGTGGTATACTTATTATTGAGGGGAACGGCCACAGGGGATCCCTGCACTGTCTGCCTACTCCCTTTCCCCTTCCTGACAGTCACCCAGCTACCTTTTTCCTGTACCTTGCGTGTGACCACCTCCCTGTAACTCTTCTCTATCACCCCCTCAGCCTCCCGAATGATCCGGAGTTCATCCAGCTCCAGCTCCAGTTCCCTAACACGGTTTTTGAGGGGCTGGAATTGGGTGCACTTCTTGCAGGTGAAGTCAGAGGGGACACCAGCAGTGACTCTTACCTCCCACATCCTGCAAGAGGAGCATGCAACTGCCCTAAAGCCTTACCTTACCGACCCTCCACACAGTCTTTTTTGGTTAGAGGAGGAGGACGGGTGGGAGACACTACACGTGTAGTGTTTCAGGTTTAGCCAATGCCCGAATTTATCTGTTTCTTCCTGGCCCGCGTTGCCTCCACACACCCTCCACACACATCTCTTGTCCAGAGAATATTGGTGCATGGCAGATTGTCATGTTTGGAACTGTGAATCTTTCAGGGTTGTACCTTCACTCTGCTGCTGGTCAGAGACTGATGAGTATCAGAGTCAGTGCTGTAGTAGGTTGTAGGAAAAGAGAATGCTTGGCAGATAGTATCTTTTGGTCATGATCAGGATGAATAGATGTCAATGGCTACATCTTGAATGCTGGCATACTACCTGTAATGAAAGTGCTGGTTATTCATTCTGGATCTGATCTGAACCTTTTGCTTAAAATCCAAAAGGTCAGAATGATCAGGAAGCCTCAGTTTCATGGTCTATGTTTGTACTGAAAGATTGGGTGAGCTTTTGTCCTTCTGTTCCATGTGATAGTTCTGTCCTCCCTGAGCTCACCTTAAGAGACTTGCATTACAGTCTGACAAATGTACCACCCAGTCAAACTCCCCACCTGTCACTGTCCCTCAAAGGGATTGTACCTGGCTGTTTGTGTGTTTCCCCGCAATGTGAGAACTGCAGCAGTCCAAGAAGGCAGCTCACCACCACACTCCCAGATAATTAGGGATGGGCAAGAAATGCTGACCTAGCTAATGATACCCACATTCCCCTGACTAAATTGAAAAAAGACTTCTAAGCACAAAACTCAAGAAATCGTTGTCCACTGTCATTGTTCTTGCCCACCCTATGTTGGCCTCCTTATGTAACTCAACACATGTCTTGAAATCACCAGGATGAATGTTTCTTACCATTTAGAATGTGCTGCAAATTGTTATATGGTGAGCTTGAGAAGTGATTCTTGTCTCAATTGTTGACATTCAGAGTTGCTGCATAAATGTAGATAATATTGTTAAAGCCCCCGCTGGATGATTGACACAGAAAGATGAGATGTTCAGAGTTTGCTTCTTGAATGTGACAATCTGTTGTGGACTACAAAGGCATCAACCATGTCCACAGTGATCTCCTGTCTTCTTTTGATGACAATGGAAGCTTTAGTTTGCCTCATACATACAGGTTGTTCCAGCTAATCTAGTCTTCTGTGGAGCAGCAATGTTGACATCAAACTTGTATAGCTCAAGGTAAATCAGCGCCACCCTGTACACCCTCGCTATACAATATGTGTCATCATTCCTGACTTTCCATTTTCCAAGCTGGCAAGTTTCTCCTTTCAGTTTGTTGGCTACTTGCTTCCAGTCCGCCCTGAGATAAAAATATCTTATCATCCCACAACCAGAGAGAATGGCAGACATTGGATCAACAGCTTACTGACTAGGAGTCGTTCAGCTTGAGTTACTGTGATTGACCGTAGGGCTCATTGACCCATCCACTGTTGGAGGCAACCCGTGACGTACTCTACATTACATTATCTACACTATTTTAGCTGAGCTCATAACCCACGGAATGCCACCCCCTTGTTTGTTTCCTTACTAACGAAAGTGAGGATGACGTTATCTTTCTATTAATTTGCAGCATATTGAAGGTACGGATAAAGACTTTGCAGACCTGTCTAGCAACTGAACTCCATCCCCAATCCCTTCCCAATCTTGGAAGATCAGAGGAAAACTGAAAACATATGTGCCTGTGGCCTGATTGGTTGCAGGAGTTGCTGGTAGGTTATTGCTTGAAGGAATCACCAGTTTTCAAGCAGAATTCCTATCTGGATCATATGCCTGTGTTTATTCCCTTAACTTCTAACTTTCCTGATGGTGTTGTTAAAGGCAGCGTCTGGCAGGATCTGGGGCATTGCCTTGTCACCCCTCAGGTCTGCTGTCTCTTGAGGTGGTTCTCTCAGTGAATCTTATTGTCCAGGTCATGGTCTCACCCAAAGTGGAACCTGAACATTTTGGTCATGGCCATTGTTGGGTAAATACAAATCTTTATTTTTCTTCCCATCCCCACTTCAGTTGAGGATTGAAGGAGTCAAATGAATTTGAAGAGACCACACAGGTCACCTCCCCGTTCATGGAAATGGAAGAGATAGAAGTGTTGGCTGCTGCTGTGCAGAAGTATTGAAAAACCATAGTATTTGCTGAATGGCATTCAGATTTTGACAACACAGATGGTGGTGGGGGCAGGGGGCAGGGGAAAATGGGCTACCAGGCAACATCTATGGGGGGAAAACCAGGAAACGGATATTTCATCAGAACTGAACAGAGTAAAACACTCACTACACAGATGTTGCCTGACCTGGTGAGATTTCCCAGCATTCTTTGCCCTTAGTTCAGATTTCCAGCATCTGCGGTATTTTGCTATTGTGCAGAATGGAGAATTACCTCATGGAGTTGAACCAGTGAGTGAGCCATTTGTCTCACTGTACCAGATAATAGGAAGTGGCCCTGTGATTTCTACCATCCAGCTGGGTATTAAAATAATGCAAGAGTTGCCATTTTATGATCTATCAATCAGCCTCAAATAGCACCAAAGGACACTTTAAACATATGAGAAAGTGAGCACTGATGGGATATTTCCCAGGAGCTAAGCCAAAATTGATACTGAGGTTCCTAGCATAAAACTTGATTGAGTTAGTCCTGATAAGCTTGGTCCCTTCCACTTCTACTGACAGTACTACCTGGTTTTAACATTTTCCTGAAGAGTAGATTTCTGGGTTGGCTTCATTTTACACTGACAAGGTCTAGCCTTTTCTTCACTGAGACACTGGGCACATGACATACTGGCAGTACTCAACCAACATTGGGTGGTAATGAGTCTGCCATCTGCACAAAAAATCAATTTTCTAATCAACATGTTCAGAGATATTATTACACAAGTCTAGAACAGCTGGGTCTTGAATCTGGCTCAAGGGTAGGGATACTACCACTGTACCACAAGAGCAACCTAAAAACGTGGAATGCTTGATGAATTTGTCTGTCATCCTTCTGTGGGGGCCATGCTAATCTTCTCTGTATCATTCCAATTTTAGTATAAATGCCACCAAAGCGAGCACATCGGGCCTCTCAGTCCATGGGTACAGACATTATCACTGCGCCATGTCAATCTGCCTTCTGTAGCCTCAAATATTTCAGCCAATGTCTCTTGCTGCACATCCTTCTACAAAGACATTGAGACCTCTGATATTGTATCCATGCAGCAGAGTTCATCAACTGATTCCTCTTTAGCTACCTCCTGATTTTTGGAACCCGTTCAAAGTTTGCTGGCTCTCGTTCATGCTGTCAATAGGAGAAATTAATGCACTGTGGCAATAGCGTCAATCCTGAATAAATCCATTCGATCTTGTTAATTGCTGTTTAACACATATGAGGAATTACTGGAATAATTTCAGAAGTTCGAACAAAAGTTAATACCTGCTCCATTAGCAATAATGCAAAGGTTACAACCTCTTAATGTACAATTAGGGTGTGCACTCAGTCTAATCCATAGACCAATCAAACCACTTTGTGCATTTGCTGCACGCGGTGTATGAGAGTGAAATGAAACCACATGGAGTCTCTGTTGAACCGATGCATGTGCAGGTGATTGTTAACTCCACCTTCTGCAGCAGTCTTATGTAATTAAGTTGTCATTTGAAAAGTCTTCATGCTCAGACTTTGCAACTTTCTTTTTTTCATTAAAGAATCTCTGTTCAATAAAAGTGAGTTCAAGAAACATAAATATGCTTCAATCAGCAGAATAAGCTTGAATTTAACTCTGTCTCTATTCTCTATGCAATTATTGTCTACATTACTGAAAAGCACTGCTGAGCAAATTGAGATTTTCGCTTCAAGGCAATGGCATCTTAACACATTAAAACAAAGTCTCTGCAGACTTTTAACAACAAAAATCATCTTCAGAAAATGTTCCTATCAGTAAAATAGTTTAAAATCTGTTTAGTATAGGGAAACTGCCTTCTTTTAAATGCATTGCTCATCCATTTTATATAATGGACCTTTAACTTTGAGTACTACATTTAAACAGGAACTTCAGGAACAGTAATGGACCATTCATCCCCTTGAACCTACTTCAGCATACAATTAGGTTGTGGTTTATCTTAATCACAAATATTTCCCTTGTCCTTACTGTGTATCGCTTGATAGCCTGATTTTATCTCAAGTCTTAGAAACCACCACATGTCCCACCATCCATTGCCTAGAAGGGGAGAAAGTACTACATTTTTAATACTTGTCATCTGAAAAATTACTTCATTTCACTCCTGAATGATCGAGTTTTAATTTTTGGATTGTGTTTTCTTGTTCTTGCTGCCCTCAACAGAAGAATTACTGAACAAATGATAGGCCATTAAATAGCTTAGTAGAATGAACAGACAAGTGACAAGCACTCAGAGCAGAGAAGTGTGAAGTGATTCACATTGGTCGGAAGAACACGTACATAAGTACATAAGAACTTAAGAACTAGGAGCAGGAGGAGGCCATCCGGCCCCTCGAGCCTGCTCCGCCATTCAATAAGATCACGGCTGATCTTTTTGAGACTCAGCTCCACTTACCCGCCCACTCACCATAACCCTTAATTCCTTTACTGTTCAAAAATTTATCAAGCCTTGTCTTAAACACATTCAGCGAGGTAGCTTCAACCACTTCACTGGGCAGGGAATTTCACAGATTCACAACCCTTTGGGTGAAGAAGTTCCTCCTGACCTCAGTCCTACATCTGCTTCCCTTTATTTTGAGGTGATGCCCGCTCGTCCTAGTTTCACCTGCTAGCGGAAACAACCTCCCTGCCTCCACCTTATCTATTCCCTTCATAATCTTATATGTTTCTATAAGATCTCCCCTCATTCTTCTGAATTCCAATGAGTATAATCCCAACCTACTCAGTCTCTCCTCATAATCCGATCCTCTCTGGAATCAACCGAGTGAATCTCCTCTGCACCCCCTCCAGTGCTAGTATATCCCTTCTCAAGTAAGGAGACCAAAACTGCACACAGTACTCCAGGTGTGGCCTCACCAGGACCCTATACAGCTGCAGCATAGCCTCCCTGTTTTTAAACTCCATCCCTCTAGCAATGACAGACAAAATTCCATTTGCGTTTTTAATTACCTGCTGCACCTGCAATCCTGCTTTTAGCGATTCATGCACAAAGACACCCAAGTCCCTCTGCACAGCAGCATGCTGCAATTTTCTACCATTTAAAACAAAGTCCGTTTTGCTGTTATTCCTACCAAAATGGATGACCTCACACTTATCAACATGGTACTCCCATCTGCCAGACCTTTGCCCACTCACTTAGACTATCTATATCCCTCTGCAGACTTTCAGTGTCTTCTGCACACTTTGCTCTACCACTCATCTTAGTGTCATCTGCAAATTTTGACACACCACACTTAGTCCCCACCTCCAAATCATCTATGTAAATTGTAAACAACTTGTAAGATGAAATGGGTTAAATCTTATGCTTTTGGGCTAAGAGTGAGTTGCGTTGAGGTTTTTGGAGGAATTCTGATTGCAAGGCCCGGTGATATTTTGTATCGTATCTTATCAAACTTGCCTCATTAACTAGCTACCCTATCCCCTTGGTGTCCCTCGTCTCCAATTCTAGCCCCATCTTAAAATGCACTGTTTCAGGAAAAACTTGCCACTCACCAGATATCCACCCGAAAGCCCAGCATTCTTTGAGCCTATGCCATCTTTAAGAAAACGTCATGCACCCAGACAAGCACTGTCAGCCTGGAGTTACCCTGTACAGTTCCTGACATTTACCCTAGATATGGCAACAGGGGGAGTCTGTCACCTCACTTTGCAGGCAGGAACCTGGAGGTCCTGCTGGATGGAATGGTGCAATTGTAGGGTCTCATCTTACCCCAGGACCAGCATGGGGGCCTTGCCTGCCTGGTTTGAGGTTACCACCTTGGGCTAGTGCAGTCTTAGCCATCCAGAGGTTTGCCCTGCATAATAGCAAGGAGGTCAATATACTTTTCAATGTCAGCGTAAGTGCCATCAACTTCACTCCAATAGCTTGCACTCACTCTATATCTGCTACTATCCTCACCTCCCACCAAGACTCTACCACTCTCAGCATTGCCTTCAACATCTTCCCACTTACTCGCACCCATCCCAATACTCATCACCACTAACTGTGCATGTCCCCTACACTGCGCACTCACTCAGTCAGGACACCTCCCCAACTGCACCGAAAGTAACAGCTGTGCCACCCACATAATGCTTTCATCTCCCTTACATAACTGGAGTTCCTTATCCCTGGAAGTATTCTGTACCATGTCTTCACATCCTTCCTAAAATGTGGTGCTTAAAGTGTGGTTGAAATACCCTGCTTTATCCAGCCTCTATCTCTCTCTCATTCCAGAAGACAAGTATTCCCCCTGAGTCGAGAAAGTGGTGTGTTGCCCAACATGAAGCTCCTCACTACTTATTGAGAGAGCATCCTGACTCTGAATGACTTAAGTAGCTAACTGTATGAAGCACTGGCACGAGCTGCTTGATAGCACCGTTGACAACCCTTTCCACCACTTCATTGATATTGAGAAAAGACCAATGGGACAATAATTGGCTGGGTTTCATTTGTCTCGCTTTTTTTTTGTGCACATGACATATTTACAGCAATTTTCCACATTTCCAAGTAGTTGCCATCTTGTAGCTGTACTGGAACAGTTTAGTTAGGGGCACAGCTAAGTCTGGAGCACACGTCTTCAGTTGTATTGTTAAAATGTTGTCAGGGCCCACAGCCTTTGCAGTATCGAGTGCCTTCAGCTGGTTCTTGATATCACATGGAGTGAATCATATTGGCTAAAGACCAGAATCTGTGATGCTGAAAACTCAGGACGAGGCCAAGGTGGATCACCCGGTCCACATTACTGGCTAAAGATGGATGCAAATAGTTCAGCCTTATCTTGTGCACTGATATGCTGGGATCCCTTACCATTGGGAATAGGGATATTTATGGAGTTCATTGGCTCCCAGTATTTATGGCTGCTTGAAGCATTACTATTGAGCTTAACTCTGATCCATTGGCTGTGGAATCACTTACTCCGGCTTAATACTGGCTGTCTTTGGTCTTTGGCTTGCAAGTAGTCCTGTGTTGCATTTTGGCAGGTTGAGACCTTATTTCTATGTATACCTGATGCTGGTGTTGGAATCTCCTTCAGTGTCGACCCCTGAGCAGCTGGTAATTGTAGAGTGGGGATTATGCCGAACAAAGAGGTTACAGGTTGTGCTTGAATATAATTCTGCAGCTGCCTTACAGTAGTTCATGGTTATTTGGTTTTTAGTCACAGGACCTTCTGAGCTCTGCCCTCAAAGTTACCACGCAACACAAAGAAGTATAACCTAAATATAAAGACAGGATTTCATCTTCACAAAGATTATGTGTTGGTTTCTTCTACCAATACTGCTAAGGACTGATACATCTGTGACATTTAATTTGGTGAGGATGAGGTCAAGCACATTTTTCTCTCTTGTTGCTTTCCTCAGTACTTATTGTGGAACCAGTCTGGCAGTTATATCCTTTAGGACTTGGCTGATTCAGTCAGAAGTGATGTTACCAAACCACCCTTGGTGTCTTTGAAATCCAACATCAAGATTACATTCAGTGCTCTTTCCACCCTCACTGCTTCTTCCCATTAGTGATCAACATAGAGAAGTAATGTAAAAGGTAAAGTTACCATAGTTCCCCTCTCTCATTAGGTGGTGAGTTTAACCTGAGGGTCACCATGCCTCAGGTGAGGGGTGAATTTGAGAAGACGGGATCTTCAAGGTAACATCAGCTGGTGTGGGAGTTGAACTCTGATATCAATCTGCATCACATACCACCCATCCAGCCAACTGAGCTAGCTGACTCCCATTTGGAGTGATACTGATTCATCAGCTGAGGGGTGGGGAGAGGCCAGTCAATGGTCTCTGCAGGACATTTCCTTTCCCATGTTTGACCTGATGCCGTGTGTCTTTATGGCGTTCAAAGTCAATGCTGAGGACTGCAGAGTAACTCCCGTCCACATGTATTCCACAGCGCAGCCACCCTCAGTGGGTCAGTCCTGC